GATGACAAGGGACAGAGTCGCGAGAGGATGGAAATAAGCTTTTCATCCTTCAGGCACGTGCTGCATATACTGCTGCGAACTGCAAACTTTCAGCATGTGAGGCCCGTGTGCCTATTATATCGGATGCAACGGCGGTACGCGTTGCTGCTTTGTCCCCAGACAAGTCCCCTTCCCGTCGAAAGGGGAGCGGCCAGTTAACCACGCGATTCACCGGGCAACAACGTCGGCGCCAGCTTTGGAAGCAAAGTGCATGCATGGCGTGCCATGCCCTGACCGACGACTCAGGCACTCCCAAAACGCTCTCGGCGAGGCGCAACTGCTACTGGAACGCAACCCGAGGCGGGATAACCTTCAAACATTAACGAACACGGCATAACCTCTTCGGGCCTCCACGAATCTGGCTCCGCGCAAACCCGATTCACCCAATTTAGATAAATTGTGCTACATGTTCTTGGAGGGCTTACTAAACCTGGCCCCCCAAACCCGGCTCAGCCCAAAATGCAGAACTGCAGGACCCTGCAGGATCCGGCGCTCTGGTTGAGGCCCGTTTGCGCTGAGCCCCGTCACCTGCTGGCCGACCACTCTTGTTGTCGCCGCCGCCGCTGTCCAGCGATTTGGTCGAGGTCGTGCGGGATATCCGCCGCGATGTTTGCTTCAATTGTGTTCCCAGGGGGTCAGTTTTCATCCGGGATGCGTTTCTGATGGACCCAGGGCCCGATAACAACCCCTGAGGGCCGAAATCTAGGAAACACTGCCAGTTGAAACAATCATATCGTTGGAGATCTGGGGTCGTCGTCGCCGCCAGTGTCCAGCGAGGTTGTCGACGCCGTGCGGGACAGCAGCGGCGCTGACGAATGACCTACAAAACGTGCGAAATCTCTTCAGGAAGCCCTTCTCGTCGCCGCCGCCGTTCGTCGCCGCCGCCGCCGCGCCGCCGCCGCCGCGCCGCCGCCGCCGCCGCCGCCGCCGCCGTCGTCGCCGCCGCCGCCGTCGTCGCCGCCGTCGTCGTCGCCGCCGCCGCCGCCGTCGTCGTCGTCGTCGTCGTCGCCGCCGCCGCCGCCGCCGTCGTCGTCGTCGTCGTCGTCGTCGTCGTCGTCGTCGTCGTCGTCCTCGTCGTCGTCTCCGTCTTTGTCTGTGTTTGTCTGTCTTTGTCGTCGTCTTTGTCGGTCTTTGTCGTCGCCGCCGCCGCCACCGCCGCCGCCCGTGTCCAGCGAGGTCGTCGACGCCGTGCGGGACAGCAGCGGCGCCGACGGGCAGGCCGGCGAGCCCGGGCGAGACAGCCGCGCGTGCGGCTCCGTGGCCGCCCTTGCGGCCTCGCTCCGGACCTCCACACGCCACGACCCCAGGCGTCGAGGGCATCGAAAACAGCGAGACACAAATTCAGCATCCTTTTCGGCCTCTCGTGGCCCTCACCGGGTCTCGTGGACCGTCAGAAACAGCTCAGGGTGAGAAATCGGTCCCGGGGAAGTTGTCAAACGTCGGGGGCCCATGTTTCGAACAAAATCGAGACGCCGGATGCCTGGGATCGCCGCGGGGCGTCGGCGTCGTCGTCGGCGGCGGCCTCGGCGTCGCTTGCGGCGATGACGTCGGCGACGATGAGGGCGGCGACGACGACGACGACGACGACGACGGCGGCGGCGACGACGACGACGACGACGATGAAGGCGACGGAGGCGACGACAACATGACCGACGGGGCGGGCGGGCGGGCTCTGACGGCGGGGTCGGACCTCCACGCCATGATCGCCGCCGCAGGGCGTCGGCATCGTCGGCGGGGGTGCTCGCTCAGGCGGGGGGGCGTTGCCCCGGAGTCAACGGCGAAGCATGGCCGCTGGAGTGGCGATGGGCCCGCGATCGCACAGCCGCACGTTCCTGGGCGGGGATGGGGCGCTGGGGCCCCGATTGGCGATTCTTGGGCGCTTCGGGCAGGGTTCGATGTCCCCCCCCCCTCTTCCCCCGTGGGTCCGTCCCCCCCTGCCGGCTTCCTCCTGCCTCCTCGAGGGGAGGACGGAGGAGGGGGAGTGGCATCAGAGGGGGAGCAAGAGGACGGGCGGGAAACAACAGCTCTGGAGAATGGCTCAGCATTTGCACACGACCTTCTTGCGCAGCCCACAAGGTCTCGCCCGAAGCGACCGTGCCGATATCATAGAACATACCTGAATGGTTAACCAGCAGAGACAAAGTGCCAGTCGTTGGGAGCTGCAACCAATGCCAAGTCACGAAACAATTGCAGCATCGCGGCGCATCACGACGACCAGAGCTCTAACGACTACGTCTCCCTGTGGCATTTTGTGAAGCTGGATCGATCCGTGACAGTCCTGGGGCCCGAAGCCTGGGGAGAGTGCATCTCCCGGATCTCAGGGCAGGAAGAGCAGGAGCAGGAGCAGGCCGAGTCGGCACCAGGGCGTGGGGGCCCAGCCCCCGCTTCAGCGCCGAGGACCGTCGACGTGGTGCTGAACCCGCTGTGGGCGCTGGCGTGGTCGGCCGCCTCTCCCTCGGACCTGCGGGCTGAGCTGAGAAGGGCCTCCTGCTCAATCCCTGCTCCTTACCAACAAATCCTCCCCGTCGCACCCCGACGCGTGCCGGTGTAGGACGGGCGGGGGCGTTTCGCCTGAGACTTCCGCACCACTCCTGATGCTGAAGCTGAGCATTTGCCAACATTTTTAAACATGATCGACCCACGAACCCAGAAGATAATACAGAAATGTAAGGCATGGCAACTTTTCAAAGACACCTGATTGGGCGACGGGCAAACACAATGCTGAATGTATCGATCTTGATGTACCGTGCCGAGGGCAGTGCTGTGCTGCGCCGTGCTGACTTGCGGTGTGCCATGCCGCGATTGTGCTCTATAGCGTTGTGGATCGAGTCCTCCTTTGCGTCCGAATCCTGACCGAACTGATCTGGATCTTAAGCTCGAGCTGCCCGAGCACATAGTAGCTGCCCCAGAGCTAATTGACAGGGGAACATGCCAGGAGGACGCGCCGTGGAACGTCCCAAGGGACGCGCCAGGCGACGCGCCAAGGGACGTGCCATGGGGACGCACCGCGGGACGTGCCAAGGGGACGCGCTACGGAACGTGCCAATGGACGTGCCACGGGACGTGCCAGGGGACGCGCCGCGCGACGTGCCAGAGGGACTCGCCACGGGACGCGCCACGGAACGTGCCAAGTTGCAATGCTGAGTGTATCGGGCTGGATGTACCGCGCCGAGGGCTGTGCTGTGCTGCGCCGTGCTGAACTGCGATGTGCCATGCCGCGATTGTGCTCTATAGTGGTGTGGATCGAGTCTTCCTTTGCATACGAGACCTGACCGAACTGATCTGAATCTTAAGCTCGAGCTGCCTGAGCAATAGTAGCTGCCCCAGAGCTAATTGACAGGGGAACATGCCAGGAGGACGCGCCGTGGAACGTCCCAAGGGACGCGCCAGGCGACGCGCCAGGGGACGTGCCACGGGGACTCACCGCGGGACGTGCCAAGGGGACGCGCTACGGAACGTGCCAATGGACGTGTCACCTCATGCTAGACATCCGCCTGGGCGAGCTGGACATGTGCAGACAAATGGCTCGCTCGAGACATCCTCAACACATCTTCAGGTTAGACGTCCGTTCCAGGCCCCCAGGAAGGCCCCAGGAGGCCCATGTTAGATACCCCCTAAGTCGCCTGGAAACGTTACAGCACCTGGTTCCACCATGTTGAATACCCCTCTGGGCGGCCTGGACACGCAAAAACACGTGGTTCCAATTCGGGACAAGCATGTTCGATACCCCCTGGGTGGCCTGGACACGTAAACACACGTGGGACCAGCTCTGGGCAACCATGTTCGTTGTTAGTTGCACCCCCGGGGGAGCCCGGACAAGTTAAAACACATGGTCCTTGCTCGGGACAATCATGTTATACACACCCCTGGGTGGTCTGGACACGTAAAACAATTGTTTCAAGCTCGGGACAACCGTGTTAGATACCCCCCTGGGTGGACTGGACACGTGAAAACATGTGCTGCCAACTCGGGACAACCATGTTAGATACCCCCCTGTGGCCTGGACACGTAAACCACATGGTTCCAGCCTGGGAGGGCCATGTTAGATACCCTCCGAGGTGGGCCACCTCGGAGAGACGACCGCGACGGAGACGTCGGAACATGCGACTGCTGACGCGAAAAGGAAAAAGTTGGGGCATCCCGGGGTCGGAGGCAGGAGGGGGAGAGACAAACAGAGGTGAGGCGGCGCAATCACGAATACACCCTCACAAAATCATGCCCGCAAGCCCCCAAGAGAAGCGGAATTCCTAAGAGGGTGGGCCATCATTCTCCCCCCCCCCTTTCCCCTCCGCCGTCTCCCTCCTCCTCTCCACCTTCCACAACTTCCACCCCCCAAGCTTCCCAGCGGCCTTTCCTCCACCCTTTCATCGTCCATCCTCCCCCATTATCCTTCAACCCCTCTCCCCTTCCTCGGGGTGTCGCGGTTTCACTCCTCCGCTCCTCCATGTAATCCCTCCTTCCTTCTCCCTCCCCATGCCTTTCTTGAAATTTTCTTGATGTTGTGTTGCTTCCCTCTATCCCTGATCCCTCCCCCTCTCCCATCGCAAATCGGCGGGGGATGCAAGGACGGAGCGCTCTCCCTCCTTCCTTGCAGTGTCCGGTCCCAATCCCAATCCTTCCAGCCTCCCAATCTCCCTGTCCCCCTATCCTCTGTCCTCGATCAACCTTGCAGGCCACGTGCCAAGCACGAGTTGCGAGGGGAGAAGGAGAAGACGAAGGAGGGAGTGGTAGAGGAGGAGGAGGAAGGGGAAGGAGGAGGCCAGGGAGTGAGGAGGGGGGATGAGGTCGGAGGAGGGGGTAGAAGAGGAGGAGGAGGACGAGGGGAGGCGGAGAAGGGTATACATGGTGGCGGTCAAGTAGAGCAGAGGCGAACGAGTACCCAGCTGAAAACTCAAGAAGCACGACACATATTAGAAACTAGAAGCAGAACGACTACCTCACGTAGGAGAAAACTGTATGCCAACATGCTTACATATTGATTATATTAAGTAGACCCTGGCAGACACCAAAGCGCCTACATGGTCAGAAATCCCAATCAGGTGGGGTAAGTGTCCAAAGGCAGTTCATATAGAGGTGGCCTGGACACGTTAAAACACGTGGTGCCAGCTCGGGACAACCACGTTAGATACCCTACCCCCCTGCGTGGCCTCGATACGCTGAATTCGCGCTCCCGCTCGAGACATGCTCGCGATGTCTTCCCTGGAGAGGCCCTCAAAGCGCCACCCCCTGTCGAGAGCAAGAAAACACAGTTTCTCTGTATTGGGTCATGTGCTCGGGTAGCGCTTTTCGGTCCCCCTAGCGCTTCCTGACAATTCGGCGTTGCGCCCGACGCCATGTTAGATAACCCCCCTGGGCGGCCTCCACCATTTCGGGACAATCATGTTAGATACACCACTGGATGGCTGGGACACGTAAAAACACATGGTGCCAGCTCTGGGCAACCACGTTAGATACACACCTGGGTGGCCTGGACACGTTAAAACACGTGGTGCCAAATCTGAACAATCATGTTAGATAACCCACTGTCTGGCCTGGACACGTGAAGACACGTGGTGCCAACTCTGGGCAACAATGTTAGATACACCCCTGGGTGGCCTGGACACATAACAACGCACGGTGACAACTTGGGGCAAGCATGCTAGATGCACCCCTGGGTGGCCTGGACACGTGAAAACACGTGATACCAGCTCGGGACAACCTTGTTAGGTACACACCCGAATGGCCTGGACACGTAAAAACATGTAATCTTGCTCGGGGCCACCATGTTAGGTACCCCCCATGGGTGGCCTGGACACGTGAAAACACGTGATTCCAGCTCGGGACAATCATGTTAGATATCCCCCTGCGTGGCCTGGATACGCTGAGTTCGCGCTCCCGCTCGAGACACCCTCGCAATGTCTTCCCTGGGAGGCCCCCAAAGCGCCACCCCCTGTCAAGAGCAAGGGAACATAGCTTCTCTGTATTGGGTCATGTGTTCGGATAGCGCTGTCCGGCCCCCCTAGCGTGTCCTGACAATTCGGCGTTGGGCCCGACGCCATGTTGGATATCCCCCCTGGGCGGCCTGGACACGTAACAACACGTGGTTCCAATTTGGGGCAGTCATGTTAGATACCCCCGTGGGTGGCCTGGATTCGTAAAAACACAAGGTTCCAGCACAGGACCACCATGATGGATACCTTTATGGGTGGCCTGGACACTTGAAAACACACGGTTCCAGCGCAGGACCACCATGTTAGATACCCCTCCTGGGTGGCCTGACCAGGTAAAAACATGGTTCCAGCTCGGGGCCACCATGTTAGATACCCCCCTGGGTGGGCTGGACACGTGAAAGCACTTGCTTCCAACTCGGGACCACCATGTTAGATACCCCCATGAAGGCCTGCACACGTAAAAACTGACGGTTCCAGCCCACCCAGGGGGGATATCAAACATGCTGTCGTCTGGGGCGCCAGCGACGGACAACCATGTTGGATACCCCCCTGGCCGGCCTGGACACGTGAAACCAACCATTTCGCCTGAGACATCCTCTGAATTCTAGGCCGGCCCCCCACAAGGACCCCGCTCGAGAGATCCCCCATCTCTGCAAAACCAGCGGTTCGCTCGAGACATCTTCAACAAATTCTGAAGAACAAGCGTTTCGCTTGAGACATTCTCAAAAATAACTCCGCCGGCCCTCTTCAACCTTGTTATTCATCGCGAATAATTCCGCCGGCCTCCTTCAAGCCGAGGCGGGGGGGAAGAGAACCCTGGGCCCATGCCCTTTCCGGGAAAAAGGATGGAGGGCAGGCCGCTGTCAACGGCTGGCCGTGGCCCACCCTCGCCGGGGGGGGCCAACTCATCGGCTGGCTCCAGCGACTCGACCGTGCTTGGCACGCCTGCGCCCCTCGCCGAGGTCGGCCTAACTTCTTCCTGTGGCTGACCCCAGTGGCGTCCCAAGAGTCGCCCAACCATCTCAAGCTCAAAAGTACAATATAATAGAGTAGAGCAGAGTAAGCATGGCAGAGAAGAGCAGATGAGTAGAACAGAGCATAACAACATGTAGTATAGCCGAGTACAGTATAGTATAGTAGAGCAGAATTGAATAGACGAGAGCAGGAGTAGAGTAGGAGTAGAGTACAGCATGAGTAGAGTAGAGTAGGGTAGAGTAGATTCTGATCTATTTGGAATATGCGCTGGCCGATCTGTCTTGCCCACAACAAATATCCCCGGATGTCTCTGTCCTTTCCCCAAGTCCGGCTTGTCATCCTTGGTCGTTTTCGACGGCTTCGGGGCCTGGCGGGATCCGGCGAGGACCCCCAAGGGCCGGAAACGGCGAAACACCTCGCATTGCTCTTTTCGAGACCACGGGCGCACCCGACCAGAAATCCTGGGGCACATGCTTCCTCCACTCTGAGCTTCGTGAGCTGCGCCTGGGCCCTGCGGGCCCGTCGGGAGATCACGCATCCTCGCGGGGTACCCGCT